ATACATATGCAAGTACACACATATTTGTATTATAAAATATACACCTAAAATATTACTCGCTTATATATAAAAGGGATGATGTGCAAACAAACTATTCTGATACCGTATATGTACAAGGTTGTTACGGCTACCTTTCTCCTAATCTTAAAGATAACGATTTTGGCTTATCATCGTCTTAAAAATACTGGGTTCGAAAGATGGCATGAAACACGGGGCTTAATGAGGCCTGGGTGAGCGTCGAGCCCTTAGTCTCAGGTTCTCAGGGGCTGAGCGGGAGAGCAGGACCTGAGGCTGAGGGGCGTGCAGCTCGACGTCGCCGAAGCCCCCTGGTCCTGAAGCAGCGGTTGTCGCGGAAACAGACGATAGGGTCTGAGGCGTGCACCTCCCGGATGGTGGATTCGCTCAGGATTTTGGGTGAGCGGGAGTTCTTCTTGTCTGTTAGGTCAACAGCTTTTTTGCCCACTTCTTGGAGACGGGTGTGGAGGGGCCGTAAGGAGGCAGGTCGGGCTGTCGTGGTAGTGCCAAGGTCGGTCGTGCCCAATTCGGTAGTAGGCACTGCGGTTACAGCGTCAGAATCAGAATCAAACGGATTTAGTGTGGTGATATTTTCCTCAACTAACGACGTCGTTGATTCTGATTTTTTTATTACTAATTCATCCATCGTTTCCTTCATCACAGAATCATCCTCTGTTGGTGCTGGGTACTCGGTTGTGACATCGGCACCAGCCTCCTCTGCGAAGTCCTCCGTGGTGGGGATGAATTCTGTTGCCTGATCTATGATCTCTTCTGTGGCTTCCTCATCCAGGATTATCTGTGTTGTGTCTTCTGGAATGTACTCAGTGACGGGTACAGCGAAGATCACATGCGCGTTGCTGCCGCTGAAACGCTGGTCCACTCCTTCCGTGTAGTCCGCATCAGCGTAGTGGTCGTATTCATAGTAGTCGTAGTTCTGTGATTCGCCTGGGGAGAGAGCAGTGAAGTAATCGTTAGGGAAAAGTGAAAGAACCTCTGGGGGCTCTGTCATGTACTGCTGGTACGAGTCAATTCCAGCATGAGCCTTTGCCCCATTAGCACCCATCTCCTCCTCCTCCTCCTCCACGCCCTCTAGCTTCTCATCCTCCTCACTTACTAGCTCGTTCTGCTCCTCATCACTTTCTAGCTCATCCTCTTCCTCCTCACTTTCTAGCTCTTTCCCTTCCTTCTCCCCCTCTTCCTGCCCAGCTACGTTAAAGGTCTCATCATCAATTGATTCATTATACTCATGAGAACTACTTGCCTGTTCTGTTACTGACTCATAATCATACTCTAGAGAAGGGTCAGTGTCGTACTGTACAGGTACCTCAGTCACGTCGTCGAAGGGTGTATCTGTAAGCAGAGCTATGGGGTTATCATTGTCCTCTAACTCGTCGTCTACAGCTTCAACTACTTCATCTACTATGTGTTCTACAGGATGCTCTACCACCAAATTTATTGTTGGGTTTTCTACTGAGGTGTTTTGGTAAAAAGCACCATCAGGCTGTGCATGTGCAGGAGAGTGAGTGGAAGCATGACTATCAGGCTGGGTATGGGGGAATGAAGGGGGATTTATATAGGGTTGGTCAGGGGTGTGAAGCGTCTCAAGGTTGTCCTCTTTGTCGTCCTTGTACTCATTATACTCAGTTACATACTCTGTTTGGTGCTCTGGTTCGGGTTCCGGTTCGGGAGCCACCTCCGTCGTCTCAGCATTGTAGTCCTCGTATGATGCTTGTGGTTCATGAGGTTCTGCTTCTGGTTCTGGCAGTGGTTCCTCACCGTCAGTCCCTGTTGTTTTTGCGTTTTCCTCAAGGTTGTGTATGGCGACTTCACGATTAGCCTCTGCATCAACTTCCTCTGCATAACCTAGAACAGCCTCTTCAGCAGCTATTAAGGCTTCTTCGACCTCCTCATTTTTGAGAGCTTCAGCTTCTTCTGCAAGAGTTTTGACTGCATCTTCAGCAATGAAATGTTCTCCAACCTCATTTTGAGGTGGCCGGCTGAAAACCACTAATGTCGACTCGGCTCCACTAAACCCATTATTGTCTAAGATGTCAACTGGAGTATCATCAATGTAATCAATATCCTGTACTGTTGAAGGCTCAGTTGTTGTGGTAGTGCTGCGGAAGCGTCCACGCAGACGACGTCGGGACTTCAACCATGCTGGTAACTGGCGGGTTCGTGCACTAGGGACATCACGGTTTCTTAAGGATGGTGTACTGACTGGTGAGGCAGAATCTCCCTCAGACTGGGTGGAGGGCTTCCTTGTGCGGGGACGAAGACGTCTACCGAAGACTCCTGCTGATGGAACTGTGACTCCTGGGCCAGCAGAGGAACTGTCTCCAGCGTTTTCTTCTTCTTTTCGAAGTGGGTTAAGAGTGCGGGCGACTGAGAAAGGTGGGAAAAGAGTGGCAGTTTCAGTTTTCTTAAGACCATCAGTCTTTTTCTCCTCATTTTCCTTCTTTCCGTCATTTACAGGAGTAGGCCGAGGCTTCCTTCTAATGAATGGCCGCCTACTGCCAACATTAAAGTTAAATCTGGGTTTGAACGTAGTAACCTTGATAGTAGTTGTAGTTGGCGGAGTTGGGGTTGTAAAAGTTGTGGGCGCTGGTGTCAAAAATTCAGAGTTATTTTCATCTGGGATGGTTGTTAGATCTTCTTCAGGGGAAGCAGTTGTAATCCTTGGTCTCTGGAAAGATGGGAATTTAGGTCTTCTAGGTCTTTCCTGGAATGTACTTTGAGGTGCTCCAGTGGTCTGGAATGCTGGGATTTCAGGTGTTGTTGTTCCCTGGAAAGGTGGGATTCTAGGAGCTGGAGTGCCTTGAAAGGCTGGAATCTGTGGTGCATCAGTTGCTTGGAAGGATGGAAACTGAGGTGCCCTTGTTGTCTGGAAAGATGGAATCTGGGGAGCTCCTGTAGCCTGGAAGGATGGAGTCTGAGGTGCTCCTGTTGACTGGAAGGACGGGATGTTAGGTGTAGAAGTTCCTTGGAATAATGGTATTCTTGGAGCAGGAGTCCCCTGGAAAGATGGAATTCTTGGAGTTGACGATCCTTGGAATCCTACAGCTTCAGGAACTTGTGTTTCTTGGAAAGGTGAAATTTCAGGTGCTGGAGTTCCTTGGGAGAATTGGCTCTCTGGATTGGGAGACGTAGAAAATAATGGGGTTGGAGGACTTTGCGGTCTTCGGAATGAAGGAATTTGGGGTGACTCAGGCTCCTGGAAGCCTGGAATTTGTGGAAATGATGCTGCAGGGGGGAAAGGCGACGGGGAAGGGAGAGGTCTTGTAGTGAAAGGTGAGAAAGATCCTGGAGGAGAGTCTTGAAAAGAATTAAAAGGTCTTGGGAAGAATCAAAAAGGAAGAGGAATCGAAAGGTCTTGGAGAAGAATCAAAAGGTCTTGGAGAGGAATCGAAAGAAATCGAAAGGTCTTGGAGAGGGAGAGGAATCGAATTCTTGGAGAGGAATCGAATTGGAGAAGAATCAAAAGGTCTTGGAGAGGAATCGAAAGGTCTCGAAAGGTCTTGTCGAATGGTCTTGGAGAGAATCGAAAGGTCGAAAGGTCTTGAGAGGAAATCGGAGAGGAATCGAATGGTCTTGGAGAAGAATCAAAAGGTCTTGGAGAAGAATCAAAAGGTCTTGGGGAGAAATCGAAAGGTCTTGGGGTATTTTCGGGCACTGAAGGTAATGGCCTTGGGGTCAGCTGAGGAGCCGGTGTGATATCAGAGGGTCTTGGTGAGGACTGAGAGAAGGGCGTTGAAGGAGAGGATGGAGTTGTTGGTGACGAGATTAGTGTTGGTCTTGGAGTGGTTACAACTGGCCTTGGTGTAGGTCGAGGGGACGGAGATGGTGTTGGTCTCGGCGAACGGAAGGGATCAGGGAAAGGTCTTGAAGATGTCTGAGATACTAGCTGGGGTCGGGGAGTCGTCCCCAAGACAGATTTTGGTGTGGTTTGACGGAATGATGTAGGATCTTCTGTGGTCGTAGTTGGGAAAGGTGATGGGCTGGGTCTTTCTGGACGGACAGGTGGTCGGGGGGTGGGTTGTGCTGGTTGAGGTGAGGGTTGAGGGGAAGGCAGTGTTGGCGGATTTGCCAGAGGCTGTTGGGGAATCCGTGGCTGGAAGGGATTTGGTGGGAAAACGGCCGGGAAGTTTGGTTGGAAGCCATTGATTGTAGGGAAATCAGGCTTGATGGGTTGTTCTCTAAAGATGGTTTGATTCTGGTTTGTACGTGGGGGAAGAATCGGTTGCCCTGGCTGGATGACTGGTTGCCCAGGTTGTGGGAGAGGCTGGCCGGGTTGTCGGAACAGCTGCCCAGGGCGTGGGAAAGGTTGACCAGTTTGAGGGAATGGCTGTACTGGTTGTCTAAATGGTTGCCCAGCCTGTAGGAATGGCTGGCCAGGTTGTGGGAAAGGTTGAGCAGGGCGAGGGGGGAACTGGCCTGGGACTGGCTGACCTGGCTGAATGAATGGCTGACCCGGCTGAGGGAAGAGTTGGCTTGTTTGAGGGAATTGCTGTCCAGGGAATCCAGTAAAAGGAGGTTGGCCCGGTACAGAGTTGAAAGGACGTGGCTGATTAGGATTTGGGGGGAACTGCTGAGGGAAAGGGAATGGCTGGCGAGGAGGGAATGGCTGTGCCTGGGGGGTTGTGGGTCTGGCCTGGAATGGAGGCCTCGTGGTAGGCAATGGACTAGGTCTGGGAGTGGTCGTTGGGGAGATCGGCTTTGCTTCTCCCCGGGGAATGGTCTGGATTGACGGCTTGCTTTGGGGCGCCGCAAGAGCTTTGGCATCGCGTTCTCCTTGTGCCTGGAAGTTTATGGAGGCATCAGGTCGAGTAAGGCCAGGGAAGGGCGAGGGGGCTGGGCGTCCAAGCTGGAAGTTTGGCCCAATCTGAGAATTGGGGACAACCACTGGGATATCCTGAGACAGCTGGTTCACACCAGGAGGGAGGTCAAACTTAACAAAGCCTGGAGGTGGATTACGGTTATCGGGA